GACTTATTTGTTCCAAAAATTGTCTAAGGACTTATTTAACATATTTTGGAATGTCCAAGGACTTATTTGTTTCAAAAAATTGTCCAAGGACTTATTTGTTTCAAAAAATTGTCCAAGGACTTATTTAACATGTTTTAGAATGTCCAAGGACTTATTTGTTCCAAAAAATTGTCCAAAGACTTATTTAACATGTTTTGGAATGTCCAAGGACTTATTTGTTCCAAAAAAAAGTCCAAGGACTTAATCATTCCAAACAAGAAAGTCCATTGGTTTTTATTGTACTTTTCCCTTTTAAATTAGGATAATATTTAATCAAGATGTAACATTAAAGGCGGTTAGATAGTTTTATACATTATTAAGATAATATTTAACTAAAAGTTGTTTAAAACTAATTAAGTACAAATTCTATATTAAGTTAATCTCTTTTAAAGCTTACCAAGGTCATGGCAGCCTTTCGGTGAACAAACTCCCCAAGTGGTTGTTACATACTCTTAAGTTGCCTTCTCTCAATGGGTTTCCTTGAAGACCTCGACACTCGATCGCGGGCCTAGAAAAATCAAGAATTTAGCAGTCATTAATTAAGAAGAGTAGTTAAAATAAAAATATGTTAAAAAGATATATTACTTATCAAACACAATCTGTGTTGGGTACAACTAACAGAGCCCCGAGCGTACACCACACCATTTACCAAAGTGTTCCGAGTTCTTTTTCTTGGCTTCAGACTTTGATTTCCAGGGACCAATACTCCATGCATCGTACAAACCACATTGCCATAGAAGCTAAAAACACACCCTCTGTTGTTAATGGCGTATATTGGGCCTTAATAGGCTTTACTGTCTCTTAATGAACTATAATGGTCCTTAACCAATCATATTTGATTTAGTGGCTGTTAATGAACCTTATCATGCCTTTATGGGCTTCAGTGGCTTTTAATGAAGTTGATTATGTCTTGATGGACTTTAGTTTCTCTTATTGAACTATGATGAGTTTTGATGGATCGTATTGGACTTAATGACTCTTAATGAAGTGTATTGGATTTCATGGGCTTTAGTGGCTCTTAATGAACTTTCTGGTCTTTGATGGGCCACATTGGACTTAATGGTTGTTAATGAAGTGTATTGGGGCCTTCATGGCTTCAACGACTATTAACAGATCGTATAGTAGTGGGCATTGGTTGAATATAATGGATGTTAAAGAACTGTATTGGGACTGAATGAGTCATAATGGATACATTGGATGATAATTAACAGTGTTGGGTCTTAATGAAGTGTATTTCACCTTGTGGGCTAGTGATGAATTGTCCTGTGATGATGGGCTTTAGTGGCTCTTAATGAACTATATAGGGTGCTGATGGGATTCACCGACTATCAATGAACTTTATTGGGTTTTAAATGGTTGTTAATGGTATGTATTAAGCCTTGAGGGCTTTAGTGAGTGGTAATGAACTGTATTAGCCTTGCCAACAGGCGTCTAATATGTAACATATATCATATATAATAGACCAAATAGCTAATCCATAAGGAAATCGATCATCATTTGCCTCCCATTAGGTATGAATTTTATCAAAATTCGTTTTTATTTTTTAAATTTCAAATGTAATAAAGTTTTCTTCTGAAGTATATAATATTTATATATGACAAACAGAACAAATAAACTCACTTACTTTCCCCACCTTTGGTGAGATTTGGACTTCTGGCCTCCTAGGAGGCCGAAGGCTTACATACTTCTAAACCAAACGCCCTTTGGTAAATGTAATAAAGTTTGTAACAAATCCGTAACAAATATTTATACATATTTGTCTCGGATTAGCTACAGATTTTATCAAAAAGAAGTTTGATTTTTTAAATATCAGATGTAACTACGTCTATAGCAAATATGTGAAAAAACTATATGAATTTGTCTAAGATTATCTATGGATTTTATAAAGATTTGTTTTGATTTCTTAGATCAAAAATATATATTTAGATCTGTAGCAAACCCGCGGTAAATGTAGTTTTTTACTATATTTACCGACGGATTTGCGACAGATCTTGAACTTCAATTTTTTATTTATTTAAAAGATAATGGTTTTCTTTCTCGGTTGCTAAAACTTAGTAAATTTAGATATGTAGCTACAGATTAGTGACGGATAATATATGCGTCGCAAAAAATGTGAAAGAAAAAGATTGCTTTTTATAGCTGATGAGTAATGGATCAGTCCGTAACAAATTATTGGTCGTTGATGCCCAATTTTCTAGTACTTGCATCATTTTGAAACATGTTTACCATGGAATTCCATGTATTACGTCATGTACAATGGTTTGTCTCGACCATTTGATTTGCTAATAATATAAATACATCTAATCTAACACTTAGAATAGTTCGTGGTCATAGCCTCGTAATTATTATATATGAAGTATAACATTTATTATACAAATCTAACATAAAAGTATTGTCATCTTAGCTCTTACAAACCGGATTTCATGTTCGAATATCACTTAAGAACTCGGATTTCAATAGTTAAGATTAGTATTCAGATTTGTAACGTAGGGAAGTGTTTTTGGCATCAAAGCTCCAATTTGATATTTCTTCATTTGAATTCAAGAATTCGAATAGAACCTTTCACATATTCATTCAATCTTGATTTTCAGAAGCCCAAAAATATTCTAAGTCTTTTGTATCATCCGAATCTTTATACTTCATAAATAGTCTTACCGGAATCCGATATATATCTTATGTTTAAGAAAGATAGATAGGACTTTTCTTATGTAAAAGTCTTATAGTTATATGTGTTGATCCAAGAAGAAAATTTAAAGCATTCAACGAAAGCGAAGACTAGTTGAAGTGAGGCCAAGATTGTGACCAAAGCATATTGCATTTTCATCTACTCAAAAGAAGATCAATACAAGATAAAGTCAAAAGTAATATGACAAATACTATTTCTGGCAATCCGAATTTGGAGTGCAAACTTATCCAGCTAGTTTGATTTACTAATTCTACCAACTCTCGTCCTAGTATGAGAACATGATTGACATGTCAAACAAAATAAGTTCTAAAGTACTATTTTATTAGTATCATACTTCATTTACTGTTCCCTCTATATACAGAAGGATGAGTTGGGTTAACAAACGTCTACATCCACTTCAAAGGCTGAAATGAGGAGTATAGACATGCAATAATCAATAAATTAGATAAAAGACACGCGTTAAAGTTGGAAAAAACATTTAATGCATTGATGACTATAAAAGGTTGTTCTTGTCATTTATTGCAACTCACTCTTTTTTAAAGAAATTCCGAGTGATAGTTTCTTAGGAAAAATCAATGTCAACCACATGAAGGACTATCTAAGTATTTCAGATCTGAAAGAGTATATTCTTCTCTTACTTTTTCAGTTGTTAGTACATTTGTTAACAATCAGATTGTTTAAGATCAGGTCTTACCTTTTTAGTATCGGCAAGAAATTTGTAATTCTTTGTTTTCAATAAACATACAGACCTAAGAAGAAGAAAAAAATGTTATTTTTGTATTCCACCCCTGTAAACCAGCCTCTTGTGTTAGTCATTATCATTCGAGGACCAACAACAACTTTCATAGTTAGACTATGATAGAGATTTATATACTGGTCCTATAATATCTTGATTAAAGACAGATTATGTTTATGATTTATACAAATATAATTGTGTACAGAATGTAAAACATAAAGAATACACGTAGTGAAGCTCAATAAATGTAAAATGCAAGTACAAGACATAAGGCAGAAAATGGTAAGTAATTAGTACAATCTACAAGAACCATGATTTAATAAAAATGTATGTCATCAAGAAGTTTGTATGTATAAACACAATGACAAATTTCTTTAGTCACACATCTTGCTTGAGTATACATAATTAAGGTCTATATGCTTTGCTTCATGTCATGCCTATAAAAAAATGTTGCAGTTTCTTTGTAACTATAAATAGTTGATCCCTTCAAGATGTAACATGAAGTTTCAAACTAGGAGATAAAATTATGCAACCATTTTCCTAGTTTGTAGCTTCAAAACAAGCCATATATCTAGCCATCGCTGTAGATTGGTAAAGCTACTCGAATTTTGGGCCTTTCCATGATATCACACCTCCATATAAAAGATACATATATCTAAGAATCTGACACCTTGTGCCTAGGTCATCCACCAATTTCATTGAACATGTAATTCCTTGTTCTGTTAAGGTATCTCAGTACTTTCTTTGTATCTTTTCAATGAGCAATTCCTAGGTTACTTTGAATGCTTACCAACCTTCCAACAACATGACTAATGACGGGTCTTGTACAAACTTTTGTACACATAAACTCCTAACAAGAGAAACATTATAAGAATATTTCTTCATGTCTTCTCGTTCAAAAGCATTCTATGGATACTAATCCAATCCAAGCGTTCCTTGTTTATGTTGTAGAACATGACTAGAGGAACATGTCATCATGCCAGATATTTCTAAAAAAATGTCGATGTATGTTTTCTAAGACAATCCTAAATTTCCAATTGATCAATTATAGAATCTTTCTATTCTATATATGACATACTAAATCTTACTCATTTAAAGCTCTTTAAAAGATATTTCTTGATTTCATGTAGTAAACCAAAAATATGAACTTGCTCTCATTGATCTTGAGGTATATGCAAGGAGCACTTATGTTTTCTTTGAAGTCGTATTCAACTTTGATTTCACAAAATTTTAGGTATGTATCATTGCCTTGAAGCTTGTTTCAGTCGATATACTAATTTCTTGAGTTTGTCGACCATGCATGTCTTCCTATTCTTCAATTATGAAGCCTTCAGGTTGACGCATGCAGACTTATTTTTCCATGTCTCATATCTATATGATGAGTCGGTTGATGCATGTAGAGAGTGGGCAAATTTTGGTGATATTTTTTGTCTTTGCTTTAGTTTGATTCCATACATATTCATAGTATATTGCAAAAGCATGTTGGTTATTGTATGCTTCTAGTGTTACCTAGAGAAGAGTTTATTATATTGTTCTTTTAACGGTGGCAATAGTTTGAAGCGATTTAAGGATTGTGTGATTTTAACTCTCATGATCTTGAGGAGTTTTCCATGCTAAAAAAAATTCATATGTTGCTTAACTTCTTCATTTTGTTTATGATTTGGGAGTTGATTCTTATTGCACTGAATACCTTATTTTTTAGCATATTCAAAGGTTCATGCGAGTTGGGTATGTTTTGATATATGTACGATGTTTATTTCACATTTGTTGTTCATGGTTGTGCCATTTTTCTCATCAAATATTGCTTGAGAAACCAACGCATACATCTCACACAATATCAAATGTTGGATTCCATCTCTAGAGCAATTTAGGTTCAACCATATATATAACATACGAACATACAACTTCAACATATTCCTATATGACTTTATTCATGAGCATAATACACAACACGTACCTGCGTGAATTGATAATAGTGTGTAGTCCAAACAACATTTTCTGATCCATGACATTTCCTTCTCTAGAACCTTAGGAGATCATGAACGATGTTCCAACAACCATTTGACACTTTATGCTTTATGGGAGTGCCTTCTGCAGAAATCTTGAATCCTCGTAATGCCTTCTTGAAGAGATGATTGATCCATAACAAATGTTACCCGAAGCCAGTTCTTGAGTCCTACGCTTATACCTAAAGGAAAAAAGAAGCAAATTTAGGATTGTAAAAAAGAGGAGAAGAAACAACTTATAAGTTGACTTTAAGGTCGCACATAGAGATTTCAACTTCAATATTTTATACAAATTCTAAGATATACTCTAGAAAATCTTGATATCGGTATTTAACAAAATAATGCATATGAACATATATAGGCATATCCTTGCCATTCCTATAGTCAATTGCTTACTGAATTTTTGTTTACTTCTTCAATTTGAAAAGCAATGTGTTTGATCTTCAAGATCAAAGCATGCGTCCTTTCAGATTTATGGAGTATAAAGCACTGAAGATCTTATGGAAAGACCTGAATTTTCATCTTACCGGGTAGGATTAAAACCGACTCTTCTTTAGCAAGCTTGAGACAGAAGTCCAAATCATCCTCAATGTCCTCAAACACCGATAGATCTAATTTCACCTTTGAAACACAAAACGTGAAGTAAGACGAACACCTAGGGCACCAAATTTCATCTACGATTAGGAAAGCATTTGCACATGCACCCTCTTTTTCTTGTACTTTTTTGACCCAAACCAGTTACCTTTCTAATACAAAGAAGGTAATTATGACTTCTTCAAAATCTTTAGAATATATAAGATTTGCATATATCCCTTTCAACTTAACTCATCTAAGATCTTAAATATACATAAAATTTGCATCATTCTCCTTACCATAGTAAAAATCGATCCTTCTGGCTTGCTTGGGCATGTTACACCAGGGATGTCTATAATTCCCTTGTAACAAGAATTTGCAGCTTCTTTAATTGTATTAATAGTTTCCGAAGGGTAACCCTCTTTGCTTTTGCCAAGTATTTCAGGAAGGGCTCCCTGCATGCACGAAAATAAACTCAAGTTCTTATCAAAGAAAAGCATGAAAGAACACATAGTTGAGCTTCATTTAAAGACATATTTTGTTTTGCTAATATTCGAAAAAAATTATTGTTGCGAGTACACGGGTCAAGACATATAATAGATGTTCAAAACACAGATATCAAGATTTCTCGATTCTGAAAAATATTTCGTTGCTGCATATTCCTTTTTTCTCGCGCATAAAACATAGACTGTACTTCAGATGGGAAAAACCTCACCATCTGGTCAACAACATACCTCGAAACACATAATTCAAGGATCTGCAAGGGGTAAAAACATCCAACACTTCCTAGATTAAATTATGATGAATGCTACATTTGAGAAAGTATTGATGACTTGATGTTTATAAAGTTGTAGCAAACTCCACTAGGTCCTTCAATTAAGAACGTGACAAGAATGGACCTCAAAAGGCAAAACATACATCTTTTTTGACAGAATTTGCAGCTCTTAGTTATGGTAGAATAGAACTCTTTTAATTTTCCCCAGCAAGAGTCCACTTTAAAATCTAGAAGGAACACGAAGCATATAGAGGGTATTAATTAGTAAGAAACCTGGATAAACGTTGGTAGGTTGGAGAATACATGGAAGTATCCCTTAATGCATTCAATAATCTGAAAAGAACATTAGGAAAGAAAATATGAGTTAGCAGTGTGCATACATAAGTTGCTCAAAGCATGTGTATAAATGTACGTCTGAGAAAGAGAGAGAACCCCATGTTCTTTAAGTATGCCATTAGGATCATGCGTAACAAGCCATCCGAGTCGCCAACCAGGAATGGCCCATCGCTTTGATAAGGACCCAAGTGTAATGACAGGGGTGATTGATCCAAAGACTCCCATTGGAACAAAAGGATTTTTCCCAAAAGCAAGATGATCATAAACTTCATCTGCAATCACTAATATCCCAAGCTTCCTGGCAGTCTCGGCAACCTAACAGAAAAGCCCCCCCACAGATTGCTTATATTGTAATCAAGACAAAACAATGACAATGCAACCAAACCGTCATGACACAATATGAAAAACAAAACAATAAAAACACATGGACACCTTCTTTATATGTTGGTGTGTGAAAACATTCCCACAAGGATTTCCAGGATTAATGATAACCATGGCAACGGTATTTTCATCTGCAACAGCTACAACTGAATCAAGATCAATCTCCCAATCTTTCTCAGGAAGAAGGTCGAAGTGACGGGTTTCCAAATGGCAAGATTGAGCAAAAACTTCGTAATATGGAAAGCCTGGTTTTGGGAAAAGGATATTTGATTTGGTGCCCGCAAGGACAGTTAATATGGTTTGAGCAGCTTGTTTGCATCCCATTGTCAAGAATACATCATCAGGGGATAGCTTTTCTGGAAGATCCTGAGATAGGTACTCTGCTACAGCCCTATATAAGGATATATGGTAAAAAATCAGGACCGTGTTCATATATTTGTAATTTGTCACAATTTCATATCCTTGTGTCCCTTACACCATTCCAAAATGCCAAAAAAGGGTTCACCACTTCTCCCAAACCATTCCAACATCTATGGATATGCTATTTGGGATACTATGTATTTTGAAGAATGTGTTTTCAAGGAGGATTCAATCAAGGATAAACTTGAAGAGCGAGGAATAGACAGGAAACCATATCAAATGTACAGATTCCTTGTTTTTCTTCCGGTTTGTGTTAATTTGATTCCTTGTATGATGTACGCTTACTCTTGGAAATAAATTGGACTTTATCATTATTTGTAATTAATATTAAAGAACAATTGATTAAGCATTTATATTTATCAAGAGAATTTTATATCACTTATAATCCAGTTACATATTTGGATATATATATATATATATATATCTCCTAATATGAGTACGACAATTCATTAAATTAATCAACCGATTACCATTAAATTAAGTGTATATCTTCCATTATTTGAAAATCATACCAAAAAATAAACTAGGACTACTTCATTTCCATGGCCTATAAGTAAAGAAGAGATCAAGTCCCTATTACACACGCAAACTTGCATTTGGTTCAGCCCTACTTTGAAGCAACTATAATAGAGCTTTAGAAGACTTCGATCTACATGCAACGATGATTGCTTCCGCATCAATCAATTTCGCTGCACCCAACGTGAGTCCTTCGGGTTAGTTTTACTAAACTCTATTACGTAACAACAAAAAGGTGTAAAAAGAAATAAAATATATTTTCTTTTCCTTGATTTATATTGCTGCCTATACATCCCGTAGCATATAGCTTTTTTTATTATTATCTGTTATATATATATATTTCCAACTAATGTATTTTAATTATATAACCATTTGTTTGACCAAAATTTTGTAAAATTTTTAAACAATTTTCTAATGTCTCCGGGTCTATATCAAATACGGATTATTTACCTTAATTAATTTACAACTATAGAATCTTGACTGAAAATATTCTAAGATCATGTTGCAATAACAATTGATCTTTTCAAGAAAATTTGTGCAGATTAATCGGTCAACACTTGTGTATCTCAAATCACATCTACTTGAATTATATATTCTTCTGTGGAAGAGACAATCTGAGTAATTTTGGTTTAAGAACAACATCACATATAAACACACATGTCTATCTCGATACTTTGAAACTCTTCTTATCCAGAGATTTGATTGTTTTCACTGGATAAATGGTATGTGGTGTATTGATGATACATAATTTTTAAATATTGAGTTTTATACTACCATTAGTATTTCTTGATATCTGTATTTAGTTGGGGGTTAAGAGGATGATTAGTTACGCATGACAACTTATATATCCCTTTTACTTTCTTGTTTTAAGACATTATCAATTTTAATCTGATCCCTATCCTGACCGGTTCCAACTATAAGCAATGGGAGAGCATATATAAAATTTTACCTTCAACTTAATCAAGCAATAGATTATTGCCTAAGAGTTGAAACACCAGCCGAATTAACTGAAATTGATATTGTAGCTGACATTAATACCTATGCTAAATGGCACAAGACAAATAGGATGGCTAAGGGTGTTATAAGATTTTCCATGGGTAACATAGTGAGAGGATCAAAAGTAGAACCTGAAGATGTGGTCAATTATTTGAAAAATATTGCTGACAAATTTAAGGAGAGCGACATAGTCAAAGGTGCCAGAATTTCTAAGATTTTAATGAACTGAAGTTTTATGGTGAGGGAAATGTGAGAGATCATCTATCGTCTATGATTGAGATTAACCAGAACCTTAGAGACTTGAAATATGGGTTAAAGATGAATAGGTAGTTCATGTGGGACTACAATCTCTTCCTACAGCCTACAACAACTTAAGGAGCATGTATAATGCTCAAGATAAAAAATAAGATTCAAACAAACTCATTTCTATGTGTTGTGAGGAGCAAGAGGGAATTAAGAAAGAATCATTTGTGATCTACCTATTAGAGAAACCTAAAGGAAAGAAAAAGACAAGCACATGCCAAAGAAGACTACCAACTTCAAGACTAAGGGAAAACTACATAAAAGAAAGCTCCAAAGTTGGGCACATGAAAAAGGAGTGCAGTGGTCTGGATGGCTAAGAAGGGTAATGTTTACTCAAATTCGGTATTTTTAATTTTATTAACATCTCTCCACTCATTTATTGGATTGATTCAAGATAACCAATTCATATTACCACTTCATTAAAGGTTATGACAAAAAAGAGAAAACACTAGAAGTCTAAACAACAAATTTGTGTAAGAAATGGAGCAAAAGTTGCGGATTAGGCTAGAGATGGCCAAATGGGCCCGGCCCGGCCCGTAACCAACGAAGGACCGGGACCGGGACCGGTTATGTAACCGGTTATAGGCCCGGCCCGGCCCGGTCAACGAAAGTCAACGAAACGTATATATATAATAAACCGTATTTTTATTGTGTATTTTTAAACGTATTTACAACAAAACGTATTTATAAACGTATATATATATATATATTACAAAACGTCTTTATAAACGTATATATATATATAACAAAACGTATTTATAGTAAAATGTATTTATAATAAAACATATTCAAAATATCATATTACAAACATATTAATAACATATTAAAAATTTATTAATAACCAAAAATTTAAAAAAAAATCAATTTTTTTTTTGAATAGGCCCGGTCGGGACCAGTTATGGGACCGGGACCGGGACCGGTTGGGACAACCGGTTACTAATAACCTTGACCGGTTACAAGGAAAATCACCGGGACCGGGACCGGGACCGGTTACCGCCGGTTTTTGTCGCGATTAGGCCCAGTAGGGACCGGTTAAGGCCCGGCCCGGGACCGAATTTTGGCCACCTCTAGTTTAGGCTATAGGAACATTGGAACTAAATTTAGGACTAGGAAAATCTATTTGTTTGGACAAAGTTTATTTTATTCTAGGAATTAAGAGGAATTTAATTTTTGTTGTATTTTAGTGAAACATAGTTGCAAACTTTGTCATTTAATTTAATTGGATTAAAATATTTCAAGGTTCTAATAGTCTTGGTTGTGGCAATTTTGTTCATAATTATTTACACTTAAATTGCTCTCTTGTTAATCAAGAGATTTTTGCTATTGAAAATAATATGAATGCTATTCAGAATAACACCACTATAGTATGCACAAAAAGAATCATCATTAAAGAAAATTCTACAAATCTTTGGCATAGAAGGTTGGGCCATATCTCTAAACACAAACTAAAAAGTTAGTTATAAAACAAAACATTGACATACTTAGATTTTTCTAATATACAAGATTCCATCGAGTGTTTTAAGGACAAGCTACATAACAAATTTAAGAAGATTGTAGTTAAGGGTGGAAAATTGTTGGAACTAATACATACAAATATACGCGGTCCATTTCAACATACCACACCATGTGGAAACACTTATTCTATAACATTTATAGATGAATATTCAAGGTTCTGTCACGTATACCTACTATCAGAAAAATCACAAGCACTTGATGCCTTTAGAATTTTCAAAACTGAAGTTGAACTACAACTTGAAAATAGAATTAAAGTTGTGAGATCCGATAGGGTAGGGGAATTTTATGGAAAACAGAAGGACACCAAGCTAAAGGTGCTTTTGCATCTTATCTTAAGCAAAATGGAATTAAGACACAATACACTACACCATACAACCCTTCCCGAAATGGAGTGGCTGAATGAAAAAATAGAACCTTATTGAATATGGCGAGAAGCATGATGTGCATTATAAGCTTACCTATTTTCTTATGGGGGGAGGCACTTAAGCCTGCAAATTACATCTGCAACAAGCTTCTTCTAAGTCGGTAGAAGAAACACCATTTAAGTTGTGGTATACCCAAGTTTACATCACCTATATGTGTGGTGATGTAAAGCTGAGGCTAAAATATCAAATGTTAATAATAAGTTTCAGTAAAAAACAATTGGCTACAATTTTTAGTAGCTACTGTGAAAAATAAAAAAGGTATAGATTCTACACTTCCAACAATTTCACCAGAACTATGGAAACAAATCAAACTAAGTTTCTAGATGAAAATTGTTGCAATGCAAATTTTGAAGATTTATCTATAGAATTTGTTGACAAAACTCAAAATGGAGGTTCATCTATTTTTCAGAATGATTTTCAAAGGAAAACTCTATATAACATGCAAATTTAATCGTTCATACTATTTCAATTGAAGAGCCTATAAGCCAAAATCTAGAACCAGATGGTATATATTTAGAGCCTGAGTTATCTGAAAATGTGGAACAGTAGTTGATCCTCAACCCAGAAAAGATTTAATAGACCCTGAAAACCAACTTTTGGACCTGGTAGTGACTACATGATACTTTTTGCAAGAATTTGATAATTTGATTGATGGAGCCGATCTTATAAACTTTAAACAAGCCCAAGAAGTCATATACATGAAGCAACCTGAATTATGGAACCGGGAAAGGAAGATCATATATGCAAACTTCAGAAATCCATATGTGGACTTAAGCAAGCTTCAACACAGTGGTATAAAAAAATTGTTTCAGTTATATCAAGTTTCACTTTACAAAAAACATTGTGGATAAACGTGTATACATTATGATAGTTGGGAAAAATTTCATTTTCCTGTTCTATATGTAGATGACATCTTGTTAGCTAGTAGCAATATTAAATTGCTTAAAGACTCTAAAGAATTTCTATCAGCTAATTTTAACATGAAAGACTTAGTTGGAGCTTCCTATATTTTAGTTTAGAAACTCAAAGAGATAGATCACGAGGTTTATTAGGATTATCTCAAAGAAATATATCCAGAAGGTCTTGAAGAGATTTAACATGCAGACTTGTGTTGAAAGAGACTCACCTATGTCAAAACGTGATAAACTGTCTAAAATTTCTAAAAATGGTGGAAGGATTTAGATGAAGAAATATATTATAACTCTTATGCACAACTAATAGGAAGTATAATGTCTGCACAAGTATGTACAAGACCTGACTTGGCATATGCTGTAGAAATTTTATCCACATTTCAACAAAATCCAATTAAAGATCACTGGATTGCAGGTAAGAAAGTACTTAGGTACTTGCAAAAAACTACAGCTCAAATGCTAGACTATAGACAAGTCAAAAACTTGAAACTTGTGGGCTACACAGATTCAGATTTTGCAGGTAAATACCCAAACTCAAAAAAATCTACCTCCAACTATATTTTTTTGCTAGCAGGAGGGGCGATAGCATGGAAAACCATGAAACAACCCCTGACTGCAACTTCAACTATGGAAGCTGAATTTATAGCCATTTACGAAGGGGTTTATGAAGGCATTTCGATCAAGAACTTCTTGATCAAACGAATGTCTAAAGCTCTATAGTTTCAAGTCCTCTAAAGATGTGTTGTGATGATGAAGTTGTAGTCTCTTTTAGTAGAATTAGCAAAAGATCAAACAATTCAAAGCATATTGGTCTTATATATTTCAGTGTGAGACAAAAGGTTAAGAGAAAAGAGGTTATTGTTGAACATATTGGTAGAAGATCTCAACTTGCAGATCCATTCACTAAAGCCCTTTTAGTAGTAACTTTCCAAAAACATGTTAGGGATATTGGAATCTTACTTGAACTCGACGGTTGAGATTATTAGGAGTGGAGATTGGTCTAGCCAGTTATTTTGTAATTCTCCATTTTTTGTTTGTAATTTTCTTTTGGCATATTTTAATAAAATCATGAATTTAAGTATACAAGTCATGTTATTTGTTTTACAAATTAAAAAATAAAATTTATGTCATTATCTATATCAAACAAGTGAAAGACCGCACTTAAAGCAATAATTGCGGACTATATAAGCAAAATTTGGTTCACTAGTATTAAAACTTTTGCTTGCAAGTTTTAGATATTTTTCTAAAATATTCGGTGGACTATGAGCTACATTTTTATGCTAATTCAGATAGATATAATTACTTGCATAAATGCTTAAATTCAGACACTTACGAACTTATGTGGAATGTGAAACTGTTTCAGTGGTTGGTTCTTAATCAAACTAGTTTGTCAAATTGGTGTAGATTCTGAGTCCTACATATGGTATCTATTCTGACCAAGTATCTATTCTGACCAAGTTTAAATGAATTCCCAACTGTTAGCATTCTCAACGCACCTTTCATTTGATACATGTAATGTTTATGGTTGTCTTGTCCTTACAAATTATGTCAAGTCGAGTGGGAGTGGAAGAATGTTGGAAATAAATTGGACTTTGTATTATCTGTAATAGATATTAAAGGACAATTGATTAAGGATTTATAATTACCAAGAGAATTTTATAGAACGTTTTTTTTTTGAAAACTCGTATAAAAGCTACTGTTATATTAAGTTCATTTTTAATTCCTTGGTAACACGAGATTTATCTAAAACCTTTGTTTAGATGGATGACAAAAGTCGGGATTTTTAAACATGTTTAGTGTGGAAATAAGCATTTTGGGTTTGATTCATGCACCATTTTAAATCCTCCTAGAAATCCTTAAATAAAGCTATGATATTTGTTCATTGAACTGATATGGTATAAACCCTGTTAATTCGTAATTTGCTAAAAAAATTTGAAGTTTTTAAGGTTAAATGGAAACCGTTTTGCCTTCTAAAATGTCAACATACTTACACATGTGATTTGATACTCATCTTAATTAGGGTGATCACATAACTTTTGAATTTAATGTGTGTTAAGAGTAGAGTGAGCTATTAACGACCAATGGGAATACCCTACATAAGCAAGTCATTGAGAAACTTATTTGGTTTTAGTTTACTATTATAGTTACTTAATTACATATTAATCATTTAAAGGTAAACAATTCTCTGAGAGAAAAGTTTGACCTAAAAATATTCCTACGAAATTGGATAAGAGGAATCGCATCTTCTACAGCCATCCTATAAGCAAAAAAGAGAAACAAATTAAGATATAAAACCAATCACCTCACCTAACTATCCTTATTTCTTAGCGGATGTGTTAGGAGTTTTATATCGACTAAACACGAACCATTAATATATATATATATATATATATATATATATATGTGTGTGTGTATGTATGTATGTATGAAACTTCCCTCTTTATATGCAGGATTTTTTAACAAGGGAATCAAAGATGTTTCACATATCCTCACATGGTAACATAGTCAAGCTACCACTTTTAGGGACTACACACTCTTTTGTGTCCCGCCATTTTTGGAGGCGCCTTCCTTCACTACTAAATGCAAGACTTTTGCCTAAGAACTTTTCCCGGAAAGGTGATTCGTGACAAACTCATCTGGATAAATTGTTGGTGGGTAATTGAAGTCAGAGATAGATTACCCAGGATTCTTTGGGTGATCTATTGATATTTTCTCAAAAAACATTGGATTTTACCAAACCACTAGTATTCTCTGGGTGATCCTTCGTAATCATTGACGGAAATTTTCGTGGATAATTTTTGTGAGTAAAATTCATTTGTTTTGTAATTTGAGGGGACGGGTTGGAGTCCAACATTAGCTAAAAATGGAACATTAAACACGTGTGTGTATATATATATATATATATATATAGGAGCGATCAAATGCAAACCACTCAATTTGTATAAACCGTGCAAACCGCATTCAACCAATCATAATTTTTTATTTTGTTCATTTTTTTATAATTATGAGAGGATGATTAATCATTTTTATTGTGGAGGGTGTTAATCATATATATTATCATCTTCATTATTTTAATTTTAGAGAAATACATGAAACAATTTCATTAATGTTAGAGAAATAC